TATTCAGGGTGGTCCGTTTCTTCAATTTTGCACACTGTGCAACACCTGCTCCTTATCTTCCCTCCATTGCTTGATTAAACAGGGGAATTTCGTTGCACTTGTACAAAAACTTGTCTAATTGGGGTGTGTGAGGAGTTTAAATTCGAAATTAGTTTTGCACCTGAAGCTGTAGATACTCTTATACATGAGTATAAGCTTATCAGTTTGTTTAAATTTATCTTGTGCATCTCATATATCTATTTTTGCAGACTAAGTTAACCTGTCCCTCTTACAGCGTAAATAAACTTCAAGAAGAGTAGTTTTTTTGAAAAATAAATTCTAAATTATCCTTTTAACTTGATTCAAAGAACTTTATTTTCAAATGAATATAAATTGAACAGAAAAGCTGGAACTTAATTTAGTAAAAATATACTTCCTCATTATAATTGATTCCTCCAAGCTGGGCTGCTATTAGGGCTTCTGGCTTTTACAAGTAATAAGCACACCTTAGACCACTTTATTTTTTAGATATTAAATTGAAAATAACTATGAAAAAAAAGCAACAACATGAAAATAAATATAAAAATAAAAAAAAGAATAAATGAAAAAAATTAGTAAAACAAAATGCAGTTTTGTTTCTTTTCTATAATATACTGGTTTTGAGAAATTTTTAAATTTTCTATACTCCTGTGCTACAGATAAGGTGCGTTCTGTCGATCAACCATAATCTATATTAATTTTTAAAAGATGGTCATCATGACCTCTTTTTGAAATCGCCCGCTAGATAAAACTTTTTGTTTGTGTAAGAATTCATATTTTTTTAACCCACGCTAGATTAGTGAACGTTCATTCTCTATTAAGTTGCATAAGTATCAGAGAACGATCGATCTCCAATCCAATACCACCAGAGGTATTGATTTATGGGAACGTGGAGGACTTTGCAACCCAACAGAATTTCAACGTGCATCAGTCACCACCTACACGGGATTTCTTTAATGTAAATTCTCAATGCTACGTTACAAATAGGACTGGGCTATATAGCGACATATCGATTCAACGTCTGTATCGGCAGGGCGATACAGCAACTTTCGTTCCAGGCGATGCATCAGAAATCTGATTTAAGCCGTCGAGTAAGGAAGACGAACGATATAACGATACAAGACACGCAAGGATCTCTTACTTTCCGATGCCAACTCGCGCTGGGGAAGACGATGTTCATATCGTTATATCGAAACGGCCTTAATTTATGAGCAGTAGAATCAGAATCAGTTTTGAGAACATATATCGTGATCTCGCGAGTTCGTTTCCGCACCTCTTAGTTTACTTTGTCGCGACTTGATATCGTTTCTTGTAGATTATTTTCAGTGGGACTGACTTTGTGATCGCCGTCGTTACCTTGTTCTGAACGTAATCTATTATTGAAAAGAATATATAAAGAAGTGTTTCTTAATTAATTAGGTAAATATTTCTTTTTGAAACAAAACTTTCTTTTTTATTTTTAAATGTGAAAATTAATTTTGATATTATATGTTTAAGTATTATTTTACATTATTGAATTTATTACAAACGGAAATCTAATTTAAGGTGCCCATAAAGAATTAAATTAAAAAGTAATTAAATTTGTTAGGCTATTTTTTACTTTATTTTAATTTATTAAAAGTTTTTTGGATAAAATAATAATTTAATGGATTTTTATT